ACAGCTTTGAATTCTACTGTACTCGTCTGGACCAAGTCCATACACAAGCCATTTCTTGGCCTTAGCATTCTTTTCCCATTTCCTCAAGTCCTCATCATTGCAGTCAGCTCTTGTTTTTGGCACATCTACTCCTTCAGCAGTCTTCTTCATGGTAGCCATGGGACTATCAGTGATAATGTCCCATAGCTCATAGTATTCTCCGATGATGTGATCTCATCCTGTTTTTCCATCAAAAGTAGTACTGGCCATTAAAGAGTGGATGTCTAGCAGTGGATTGCCCTTCCCAGTTTCTAGGTGGTGCACTCATCTTGATCTTTTCCTAAAGTGTTAGCCTCTTCAATGATAACCCGCTTTGATATCAATTGATGTTTTATACTTCAATACTATACAAGAGGGGGGTGATTTGTGTGATGACCAATTTTTTGCTTAAACTGATTATTGTAACACCCCAGACTTTAGACAGAGTCCCACATCGGCAAAACATAAGAGAGATATTGCGTATATAAGTTAACAAGCCTTAGACCCTAGTGACGCATTTTAAACCCGTGAGGGCCCAGGCCTAGAGCGGACAATATCACTAGCGGACTGGGCTGTTACAGATGGTAGCAGAGCCACTCTTGTGTCAGCCTTTTCGATGGTGGGTCAGAGTTCAACTGAGTTTAGGCAAATCCCAGTTAGGCGGGGCAAACCTCAGTATTGAGTCTAAGCAAATCTCATACGGTGGGGAAAACCTCAGCGAGGACGCTGAGTCCATAAGAGGGGGTGTATGTAACACCCCAAACTTTAGACAGAGTCCCACATCGGCAAAACACAAGAGAGATGCTGGGTATATAAGTTAACAAACCTTAGACCATAGTGACGCATTTTAAACCCGTGAGGGCCCAGGCCTAGAGCGAACAATATCACTAGAGGGTTGGGTAGTTACAATTATGGAAGGACCTGGTTCATCTAAGTGTTCCTTAACCTACTATTGCAGAAATAGTAAATGGGAAAAGTAAAGAACACAAGTATTTTATGTGGAAAACACCTGGCTCACAGGGTGAAAAATCTGCGACCTACTTCCTAGTAGGATTTACCAAACTCTTTACTAAATCACTGACCCAAAAACTGCATTTACAAAAATACTTTTGTAAATCTAGGACTAACTCTAATCCTGTTATGGCAAACAGCCTCTAACTGCTGCGACAACTTCAAGTTAACTCTAACTTGAAAACTCTGAGTACCTATTACAATTGCCTCTAGATAAAGCTGAAAGATACAATATGAAAACACCTATTACAATTGAACTAGAATAAAAGACAGACACTTGGAACTGGTTCTTCTATCTAGTTCATGTAGCTTCAGGTTTGCACACTTGAATCACACACGAACTGCTTGCAAAATTGCCTTGCTATTTTGCTCTCAATTCACGTTTAACTTCTGCTTATGTGCGTTACCTATAAAAGAAAATAACACTAATATTTATAGAGTTAGTAAATAAAGATTGACTAGAATTCTGATGCTACTCTTTCTTGCTGGAAGAGTTCTAGTTGATCTCAACCTCTAACTCCTTCCCTATCTTGATGAATAGTGTTCTCTTTGAGTAAAGAGTCCTTCTCCTTATCAATTATGCAACATTTTTTATCAGGATCAGGAGATATCAATTCTGTCAAGTTAGGTTTATCTCTTTCACGTGCATCTCACACGCTCAAGTTTGTCCGTATCTGTGCTCAACAGGAATGGACCTGGTTCATGCCTAAGTTCCTTTGTCAGTCTTCAAAACTAACATTTACTTGGGCCAACACCTTCCTTGCTCGTCATGTTTAGACTCAAAACTTGCGCTCGACTTGATAAATAATTCTAAATAGCACAAACTTAAAATACAAATTAAAAATGTTGTAAAAAAAGATCATTGCCTAATTCGTGAATAAAAATAAATTTTAACATCACACTTGAAATATAACCACTTTTGAGCTTTTAAAACTCATTCAAATCCTTTGTTTCAGCTTAATTATCAATAAAGTGTTGATAGTTGATAATTTCACCGAGTAATATACAATTCTTATGTTGAGTCAAGTTAATCCTATTCAATTACTCGACCAAGTAAAGTTCGAGTTTCAAACAACTACATATTTCAATATATTATGTACAATCTTTATAGACACATGCAATTATCAGAATGCTCGACTGACAAGTTCGCTGGTTCGTTCTTAAAAATTATCTTTAAAATCTTATGAGATTAGCAAAAGATTTATTATTTAGGTATCAATGGGAAAAAGGTTGTGGTATTGATAGGAGTATCAAAACAGCAGCAAACAATCTAATCAAATATAAACTATGCACCGAATATTATGTTCCATGCCGCAAAGATATCGAATAACATGAAGAAAGGAAATTTTATAACAACTCGTATCAACTCATTTGGTGCAGGAAAGCCATGCATGTGTTTTTCACTTCTAGGCAAATTCAGAAGACTAGCACCCATAATATTTTTTTTTTTATTTTGAATAATTCTAGATCCTGCTGAAATTTCCATTAATGCATAATAATAAGAATTACAAGGAAGAGTTTCGCAAGTACAGATATGCTTTACTATTCAAGCTCAAGGGAAACACTAGCACATGGTTCACATATGCCATGGCCTCAGCCCATCCCTCTTTCATCACCGATCTTTGGGTTTCTGATCATCCAGCATTTTAAACTTTTCTTATGGATTTAATTTATATACCACTGAAATGTATAGTCTTTTCACAGCTATGGTAAATTTTAAGGTTATAGCAGGTCACGTGCTTTATTTTCTAGATAAGTAATTTGTACGTACGCTTACTCGTAGTTGTTTTTTTAGGACCATTGGTATCCGTTAACGTGTTTGTCCAAGTAGTGTAATCGGTTCTGCAGAAAAAATTGCACGGGACTTATGCCCATTTTTTAAAAAAATTTTAATTTGTACCCAATTTTTAAACAACTTCAGCCCATTTCTCCTCCTCCTTTTTCTCCTCCTTCGTTTTCTTCTTCTTCTATTAACAACTGAAAGGCACTATGATTAATTCTCTAATACTACCACCATCTTAAGAGTTCTATTTTTAACATTGTATTGGTAGAATTTTTACATTAGGTGAATGCTATGGTTGCAGCAGTAGATTTGGAATTTGTTTATGTAGAATAGTAGTACTAATAGATCAGGAGAATAATATCGGTTTTTTTATTTAAGAAGAGGATTGAGGAGGAAGATCACAGTTCTCTTGCCTTTGTACTTGTCTCAATGGTAAAGTTCTTAATGTGCTGCAGTGTCAGAACGAACATCTTTGGATTATTAGTGTTTTGTGTAACAACTATGGGATAATTGATTGTTGACTTAAAATTTTGTGAAATGTTTCAGTGCTGATTCGATTTTTACATATAGAACTTAAGTTTTGCCATTTATATTTCACTCTTCCTGCAAAATGTTACTTCAGCTTATATAGTACTGAAGTTTTTACAAATGAACTAAATAACTTCAGCATCTTCTGCTGAAGTTTTTGAAAAAGATTTATGACAAAACTCATGAATCCAGGACAAAAAACTCCAACTGTTTTAGTACTTAAGTTTTTACAAATGAACTAAATAACTTCAGCATCTTCTGCTGAAGTTTTTGAAAAAGATTTATGACAAAACTCATGAATCCAGGACAAAAAACTCCAACTGTTTTAGTACTTAAGTTTTTACAAATGAACTAAATAACTTCAGCATCTTATCCAGGACAAAAAAACTTCAGCACTGCCTTTGCTACTTCAGGCCCGTCTACTAGAATGCTGAAGTTTTGCGTGATTGTCTTTGCTACTTCAGCCCCGTATGCTTAAGTTACGCGAAAAAGTGGGTACGTNATATATATATATATATTGAATCGCTTACTTTTCTTATATTTTGAATTCCCTTGTGAAATCCTGCTTGTGCCACTGTGTGTTTCTCCCGGAAACCGGAAATGAGGAAAAAGGATTTACATGGTGAGAGACTAAGACTGGACGTAACCATAAACAGAACTACCTTCAAGAAACAACTTCAGCAAGTAAGGAGAAACATGGACTACAGTCGACTGGGAAGTGCAGTTAATGTGGAAGAAGGAGAAAATAGACTAAAAGGTCATTGTCAGCGTCCTGCCTCGGCGACGTTTCGTTCTTATCCTCGGAGCTACAATGAAGCCATTTTGGCATCGTAATCTTGGGAGGCTCAGTAAATTGGGGACCTAAAGTTAAATTTTATTATTAATATAGCCAATCAATCACATGACTAATAACCCGTTTGGCTTGCGAAAATCAGCTTATTTTGATAAGTGCTTTTTTTCAAAAGTATTTTTCTCAAAAGTACTTTTTGTGAGAAGTAGTTTGTGTTTGGCTAATTAGTTTGAAAAGCACTTCTGATCAGCAATTACTGTTTGGCCAAGCTTTAAAAAATTGCTTTTAAGTGTATTTTTCTCAAAAGTGCTTATCAAAAAAGTGTTTTTGGAGAGAAGCTATTTTTTTCTGCTTCTCCAAAACTGCTTCTGCTTCTCCTCAAAAGCACTTTTTTTACTTCCAAAAGCTTGGCCAAACACCTCAATTTTTGGCCAAAAGTGCTTTTGACAACAAAAAAAAAAAAAGCACTTTTGTCAAAAAAAAAAAAAAACTTGGTCAAACGGGCTATAAATAGTTTTCTTTCATTTTTATGAAGATTTTGTGCTTTTTATCTTAAACAATTTTTGCAGAAAATTAACTAAAGAATCTACTATATATTAATAGATAGTGAGGCCTTAAAACTTTTGAGCCTATAGCCTTTATTGCTTTAGTTACTTGGCCCTTCAGCCGGCACATCATAATTTTGTGTCAAAAGAGAATAATTCGAATTCGTCTAGTGTCATGGGTTCGAATTTGGCCACGTCCAGGTGAGTCTTTTCTTATTCCCTTAGCTTGTTGGTATTGAAGGGAAGGCCATCTAGTAAGAGTTGGACTATAAATGTCGCCACAAATAACCTTCAGTTACAGTTTTTCTTGTGACAATACAATAGTCGCCGTTAATACCCTTTAGCAGCGACTCCTAGGTATTTGTCGCCACAATAAAGGTGATATCTTGTAGTGAATTTGGCCACGTCCAGGTGAGTCTTTCTTATTCCCTTAGCTTGTTGGTATTGAAGGGAACGCCATCTAGTAAGAGTTGGGTTATATATATATATATATGTCACAATCCAGTATTCAAATACGTTTGGAGTCGAGAACATGAGATTTTTTCTCATGGATCACATGATTACACAGTTGATGACTTGCAATTTCGCCCGAACTGGGTGGGAGGGAGTTGTTTTAATTTCAAGCTGGCCCAATGCTCTTGACCACTCGAGCAGAAGAAAAAAAAGATCTATAGCTTAGAGAAAGGTAATAACAGTTTCATTCTTAGTTTACTTTTCCATTAATGAAGTCACTTATAATTAACACAATTTTATGACAAGGTTGTAGAGATGAAGGAAGTATGTAACGTATTCAAGGAGAGATTATTTTATGAAGATGTAGGAAAGGGGCACTTTCTCAAAGGTGCAAGGGTCCCAACAATCTGATAAATACATGATTTATCAGTCTAGCTGTTATTGATGTTGGTAACTAAGGAAACTGTGTAAATCATAGTGCAACGGAAAGTTGCCAATTGACATCAAGCATATTCGACTATCGAATTGTCAATTCTTGCAAGTAGCAAATTTCCCTGCTGATTAGAGAGTAAGGAAGCACTTATTTTGGAGCGATTCCCAACTGCTTAACATGCATAGCTGATAGTAAAGAAAGTTTCAAGTAGATTTGGCCTTAATGAAGGGGAGCCTTGGATGAAGGGGAGCCTTGGAACAACGGTAAAGTTGTTTCCATGTGATCCTCTAGGTCACGAGTTCGAGCCGTGGAAACAATCATTAATGTTTGTACTCCCTCCATTTCAAATTTATGTAAACCTGTTTGACTGGACATGGAGTTAAAAAAAATGAAGACTTTTGGAATTTGTGGTCCTAAACAAATCAAAAAGGGGCCCAGAATATTTGTGTGGTTATAAAAACTTCTCATTAAGGGTAGAATTGTAAGTTTAAGCTAAATTGTTACCAAATTTAGAAAGGGGTCAATCTTTTTGGAATGGACCAAAAAAGAAATATGTTCACATAAATTGGAACAGAGGGAGTATTGGGGTCGGTTGTCTACATCACACCTCTTAAGGTACGGCCCTAACTCGAACCCGGCATGAATGCAGGATACTTTGTGCACCGAATTGCACTTTTATTTGCCCTTAATCTGCACAAAAACAAATTACTATATAAATTCCAGAAGCCGAGCTTTGGTTGCCCTATACTGTTGGAGTAGAGTGCCCTTACTATTTTTGGTGTATTGATTAGCTAGCTAGCACTCTGGTCCCTCCTTTGACTAACTTAGAGGCATTCCGCACGGTGACTAGTGGGCAATTCGTGTATTTGTCGGTAGATGGTGTAAATGAAGTAAGGATATAGTTTTTCGTATGTATTTATCTTGTCATTAAGAGGAGGGGAGATGAGCCCGGAACCCAATTATTTTTTTTGGACTCAAAGTATAAAGTGCAAAAAAAAAAGTTATTTTTCTATATATAATGTTCAAATACAAGATATTATACCTTAACGGTAACTTTTGTTGTTAAGGTATAGCGTCTTGTATTTGAACGTTATATAGCCTGACGATTTGACTGACATATATAACGTATTTGACTGACATATATAACGTTTTGAATTTTTACGCTATATATATAGCGTACAAAAAAACACGCTATGGCAGAGGGGTGCCTGATCCGCTTCTCCAACTAAGGTACTGGTAAGAGAAAAGAAAAGGTTCCAAATCTATAACTACGGTCAATATGATCTTGTAACGTGTAGCAGGCTGCCGATAAATTAGTTGAGACTCGTGCACCCTAATTCCAAAATACCCACTACCTAGAAAAGAGAAGAATATAGGAATTTTATTTCTTTTTAAGGATTTAACTTATGCAGGTGGTAGTACAGACTTATTTACATTTTTAATGTACTTTACCTATTATAATAAGGTACTTATTTTATTTTTTAGGTTGCTAAATTAGACTTACTATAAACAAAGAACGTTAAGAACCAATGTAACTGCTTATTTATTCATGATAAGCAAACTTTCACTGCCAATATTCAGAAGTGTAACTTTTTACTTGCACCGTCTTGTGGTACTCTCTCCCGTCCACATTAAGTGATCAATTTGCCTTGAGCACACCCATTAAGGAAATACTAAATTTTAGACAAGAATAACTAGTGTGACTAAACTACCTTAATTAAATGTTGCAGTATAATTTAATGTGAGGAGAAAGACTTTTTATGGATACGTACATAAAGGTAATTTTGAAAAAACAAATTGAATTTTTTCTTGATTATATAAATGGACACTTATTTTGGATCAAAATAAAAAAAAACAAATTGTTCACTTATTGTGAACCGAAGGGAGTAACTTTTAACTTGAAGTGTAAGAAAATTTTACACGGTCAATATTCAGAAGTAAACTGCTTATTTATTCATCTCTTCGTATTATCTGCACTTATTCTAGAGACAACTCAACGTTTAAAATGTGAAAATCTGAACCGATATTACAAATCTAATGACCTAATCTAATTTTCTTAAGCATGGACGAATCTAGCACTTAAGTTACAGGTTCATTTGAACCAGCAATTTTAGTTCATTTTCTTGTATATATATTAAAAATTTTACAAAATTTTGTGAATCTAATATTGATAGTAGGTTTATTTGGGTGAGAGAAATGATGAGTTTTGTAAATCTGTGAGTTTGTCGTGATGGGAGTAAATAAAGAAAGCAGGTAACGGGAGAAGCGGATCAGGCACCCCTCTGCCATAGCGTGTTTTTTTTGTACGCTATATGTATAGCGTCCAAATACAAGACGCTATACCTTAACGATAAAAGTTACCATTAAGGTATAACGTTTTGTATTTGGACGTTACATATAGAAAGGTAACTTTTTTATATATACTTATTAATGTACTTTGAGTCCAAAAAAACAACAATTGGGTTCCGGACTCTAGGGAATCCCTAGCTACATATGGTTTTTAGGGCCGGCTACCAAGGTAGAAAATATCTACTAACATTGTTCAAATGAAGGTGTGCCAATCAAAATGCAGTATATAGCCAAACTAAGGAACATGGTGAGGTCATTTCCTTCTTGATTGAAGACATAGCAACTGCATATCAGATATGTAAACCTGAAAAAAGAAAAGTCCTATCTCAGATAAGTACTAGACGACTACGTTAAGCCGTAGAGGGACCATTCTTGTAGGCAGACAAAAACCAAGCATTTGCAGTGAATTGAAGCCATCAAAAGATATTGGCAAATCCTAAAGATTTTGATTTGTGGGGTCCTCTACAAAAGGCAATTGGGACTAGAATTAGCTTTTGTGCCACTAATTCTACCCTCAAAATGATGATAGAAATGAACCCTCTTTATTTCATGGAGAATACAAGTACCGTACCTCTGTTCATCCTAAACATGTACTCTTTATCTAGACACTTCAAGAAAAAAGAAAATATGTAAAGTCTTAAAGCACTAAAGAGTAAAGACTAATACTAGTAGGTTAAATCAAGCCATTAAACTAGAATTCAATCTAGATAAAACATTTTGCATTATTCCCTGATGAGTGGCTAATGTTGCTTGCAGACGGATTGAGGTAACCTTTATCTGGGTGTCAATCATATTCTTGGAAAATAAAGGCTAATAATAAGACATGATTTGTACAGATTTTGCATCTTTGAGAGAAACTGTGTTGGGAGGACAATAAAGGCAGATAGTCCAATTGGAGGAAAAATCCTGTCCTTAAGCTAACCTATCATGGACTTTGAAGAAATGTCATGCAGCTAATTGAGTTAATGGCAGAACAAGAGTGAAAGTTGTCCATTAAAAAGTTTACTGTTTTCAAATAAGCTGCTCGAAAAGAGTTAACTTGATCTTTCTCCAATCCCTCTAAAAGAAGCTATGAATTCAATAGGTCCAAGGTTGGTAGTAGAGGTAGATTTAAAGAAGAAGCCATGGGAACAAAATCCACCTCTTCACAACCGGTGGCACCCGGAGATACCTCCGGTAGCAGAGGTACGAGTTGGAGAGGTGTTCAGGATTGAGATGGTGGATTTTCGTGGAGGTGGCATTACACAAGAATACACTGCCGAGGACATCAAGCATGCTGATCAGTCTGTTGTGAGTTTCTGCAAGCACTCAATTATTTCACTGTTTCACACATTTATTACTTTTATTAAATTGAACCCCTTTAGAACTAGTACTTTCATGAAAGAAAAAGGTTTGACACGAAATTAACAGTGATAGTTCAACCCCTAATAAGTAGAAGGATTTATAGGTGATGAAAAGTGATCATCCTGCCCATCAGAAACAAGAATGAGCAACAAATTGGCAAGGATGAAGCTTAGTCTAGGACTCCAGCAGTAGCACACAATTCAATAGATAAGGCGTAGCATCTAAACTAGGGAATTTCCATGATACGATTTCCATATTTCACTTAAATTCAAGAACCAGAGTGAAGAAACAGGGAAACACCCAACTGGAGAATCAATATCAACTGAGCAATTCCTTTTGAGAGTGTTTTTGTCTTGAAAATTCTCTTTTTTGCTCTAAAAGTTCAAAATCCTAGTTGCTATTGAAGCTAGAAAGAGCTATATCATGTTCTAAGTTCATTGGGTTGGATTAAACTAGTTGGTTTAGTAGGAAGAATCATATCTTTCATCATAAAAAATATATCCTAAATCTCTTGCCTCAGGTGAAAATACTAAATCATCCTTTGGTTACGGAGTTTCCCAAGTTGAATATACGTCCCTTAACGATGAATACAATTGTGAAGTCTGTCCAATATCTTTGTCATTTTCAAGAAGTAGACGGTGACCATTACAGAGACGTGACTCCCATTTGTCAGCTAGCAATCTAGTCACTTGCTTTCCTTTGAGTGCCATGTAATGAAAGTAAACATGCTCAAAGTTTCACAAAACACTAAGTTGCCATGGCTCCTCCAACTCCAAGACTAATAATCCCCATAGACCTAAAGAAGAAGCCATGGGATCAAAAGCTACCTCTCCACAATCGTTGGCACCCAGAGATACCTCCTGTAACAGAGATTAAAACCGGGGAGATGTTCCGAATTGAGATGGTTGATTGGACAGCAGGCGCTATTCAAGATAATAACTCTGCAATTGATGTAAAAACCATTGATCTATCCACTGTAAGTATGCATAAACTTATCACCCAACATCCGGTGAATCTAACCAACAAAAAAAGTCCTAAGTCACGTAATGGACCTCCATTGTCGAAATAGAAAGTTGAAAATTGGAATAAGTTCAGGCTAAATCACATAACTCTCTCATGCAGGTCCATTATCTTAGTGGACCAATAAAAGTTGTAGACACGGATGGAAAGCCAGCTGAACCAGGTGACCTTCTTACTGTTGAAATATGCAACTTGGGGCCTCTCCCTGGAGATGAATGGGGTTTTACTGCCATATTCGACAGAGATAACGGTGGCGGATTTCTAACAGACCATTTCCCCTGTGCAACTAAAGCCATTTGGTATTTCGAAGGAATATATGCCTACTCACCTCATATTCCAGGTAAAGCTGCAAACCTTATCCTAATATACCCTGGACAAATATACATATCAAATCCTAATTAGATTTACTGGACATCTCATGGACAGGTGTAAGATTTCCTGGTTTAGTTCATCCTGGAATAATTGGAACAGCGCCTTCAAAAGAACTACTCAATATCTGGAATGAGAGAGAAAGGAAGCTTGAAGAAACTGGTCCCCAGTCTCTCAAATTATGTGAGGTCTTGCATTCAAGACCATTGGCTAACCTACCTTCAACAAAGGGGTGCATTCTTGGCAAGGTATGATCACTTGCAATTGTTTCAGAAACCGAAGAGAGGCCTCATTGGCTCATTCACTCCATAACAGTAATTTACCTGTTAAACTAAACCTAATCTATAAAAGAAAGAGACAACAAATTATGCATCAATGCATTTGAAGTTAGTGCATTCAGGAAACAGAATATAATCCAGTCATAACAATATGAAAACTGATAAAAGAATGCAAAAAAATGAAAAAAGAGAGAAGAATGAACAAACTAAGCACATCAAGTTTTTCTGACAAGTCATAATTATATGCAGATTCAAGATGGAACTCCTGAGTGGAATAGGATTGCCAATGAGGCTGCAAGAACAATACCTGGACGCGAAAATGGAGGAAATTGTGACATCAAAAATCTCAGCAGAGGTTCAAAAATATACCTTCCAGTATTTGTAGAAGGAGCAAACCTCAGTACTGGTGATATGCATTTTTCTCAAGGCGATGGTGAAGTAGCATTTTGTGGGGCAATAGAGATGAGTGGCTTCCTAGAGCTCAAGTATGTTCCACATCTCATTTACAACAAATGGCTATGAATAAATAATCTTTTTCTGCCTTGGGGTTGACTGCCACCAGAGTCGATCCTTTACATCAACCAGCAAACTCAGGAAATAAAATCATGCACCATTTTATTACAAGCAATATAAAGTAACTTGGAACTAGGCTTTATTTATAACTCTGTGCTTATTTTACTCTGCCACCCCACATTGCTGCTGATGCTACATCAATGTTAGTCATCTTAAGGTACCCACATATAGCATCAAGAGCTCTTCTAACTTATGCGCTACACCCCTGCCTTTATAAGCTAACAGTACAGATGTGGCAGATGTTAGATTTACCTATTTATTTTTGCTTGGATCAGGTGTGAAATCATAAGAAATGGAATGAAAGAATATCTTACTCCAATGGGACCCACACTGCTACACGTGAACCCAATATTTGAGATAGGGCCTATGGAACCAAGATTCTCGGAGTGGTTGGTGTTTGAGGGCATCAGCGTAGATGAAAGTGGACAACAGCACTATCTTGATGCAAGTGTTGCATACAAGCGTGCAGTGCTAAGTGCAATTGATTACCTGTCAAAGTTTGGCTACACAAAGGAACAGGTATTAAGAATCTTACTGAAAATTACTCTTGTAATAGAAGATTTTTGGGACCACATAACATAAACATCCAGAAGAAGAAAGCAATTTGAGTAAATATGAATACTGATTATTGCTGTGCCCACAATGATGTTGGTGGCTATCAGGTGTATCTTCTACTTTCGTGCTGTCCCTGTGAAGGAAGGATTTCAGGAATTGTTGATGCCCCCAATGCTGTAGCCACACTTGCCATTCCAACTGCGATATTTGACCAGGTACTGAAAGTTCTCAGAGGTCAATCATGATAAATTATAAAAGTTGCAACCTACAAGTCCAATAAAGGTTACCATCATCTAGTTACTCCAAACCTTGATATTGCTAAATCTTCCGCGCTGCTAGGCATGGACGTGTAAAACTGTAAAGCAGCAATTTTGGTCTTGATCCAAAATCCATCTAGAACCTGATTCTAAGAAATCAGTTCCTTTATTGTCGGTATTCATGAGCCGGAAGTTCTGGTTTGTTACAACAGAACCGGTTGTTTGATGCAGGATATTCGCCCAAAGGTCAACAAAGTGCCTCTTGGGCCAAGACTTGTGAGGAATCCAGGAATTCCACAATGTACTTATGATGGCAGCCTGCCAATCACCAAAAATCCCTTGCTCCATTAACTACAAGGAGCAGCTGCAACATAGATGCTGTTTCTTGAGCAGGGGATGTGCATGTAAATCTACTGCAGGAAGATATGACCAAGTTGAAGCAAGAAGCAAAACTGAGATGAATAGTGCCCTACTAGACCTTCTAAACATTTAAAGAAGTAGACATGATCATCTTAAATGTAATAGCACGCACAGTATTAGTCATAAGTAGTTTGTGGATCATATCATGGAAAACTTCATAGTGGGACTAATCATTATAATGAGGTCTGAAGAAGATATCCTCTTTGAAATGTCTCCACCATAAAGAATCATGGAAACAGTCAAAGTCAATAAAAATTCCAGGACAAAGAGGACCAATTAAACAAAAAGTCATGTATTCCAGCCAACATTTACCATTAAAGCAAATAAAATCTGTATGTAGGTCAATTTACAGAAATTTAACGAGATTGAAAGAGGTTAAATAACTGATATTCAACCTCCATGCTCTTTAAAGAAAGTGAATTCACCACTAGGAGGGAAAAGAATCCTGTATAATTCCTGCACTCTTACACCTAGATGCATAAATGTCAAAATTCCTTGAACACCAAAAAAATCATTTGAATGCAAGACCGCAATGGACCCAGCTTAATTTCTGTAGTCAATAATAGATAGAGAGTGTCCTGTGGTGTTGAAGAGATGGGCATTTTATGCCAAAAGCCCATAACCAAAGATCCAGCTCCACGCTCAACACCTGGAAAGGAAAACGAGATGTCACATTTAGTGAAAATGAAATTCAATCAATGAAAATTGGAAAGCTGGGAACTCAGTTTCGAATACACACAAAACAGGAATAACAAGTAAAGAACACAGCTGACATGTCAGACTAACTGTTACACCACTAGCAGCCTTATTTATATATTGCTTGTACAATGAAATCAAGCATAGAGCCACAGCCCATGTACAACTTACATTGGCCATTGGACATGTAACTCACCCTTTTATCTTTTCTTGTATTTAAATGGGAGATATAGATATACACTTAAGAGGTCAACATGACATAAGGATTGTAACTTAACTGGAACTTGCCAAGCTAAAAGTTAAATAGTCTTGAACAATGAGAAAATCAAGTGCACTACTTGCAACATGATTCAGCAACATGCACCTAAGCTGTACTCTACTATTGACTGGACTATAAACAGTTTCAGATTCAGAAGTATCAAGCAGCGCAGACAAAGGCATTGCCAAAGGATGACAGCCACTTTTTTTATTTTCTCCTCTCTTTCTTTATTTTATTAAGACTCTAGGAGACAGATATGAACAAGACAAAATTTTGGAGGAGCACAAAAGATGCCATCTCATATTTATGGTTTCTTGTTCCAATAGGCAATAGTTATATATTAGAGAGTCAAAAGACCCATATAAAGTAGAAAGTATTTTACTCCATTTTGTAAAATTTTAAATCAAAGATAATACATTAATGATCCGACAGAACAATTTAGATGGCAGGATTTCTATTAACATCAGCTGCTTAGCTGCATCAAAGCTGAAAGAATGATTTTGTCTGTAGATTAGTCTATTTCATGAAGTCATCTATCTGTGAATTCTGGAAATTATTGGTCTAATGGTCTTCTACGTGAAGTAAATGGAATATACTTAAACAAGAAGTATCCATTTTTCCACTCACCCCTTCCAATAAGAGACACCAAAGCTTTACACATGCAATAAATACATACTCATTTTATAAAATTTGACTTTCAGCCGAGTATAAGTTATGAAGCACCAAATCTGATCACTGAAGATACGAAGAGCAATATAATAGCAATGAGCTAGACCAACCTGCTTCCCAGTCTTTTTACTGATCAAGTCCTTCATTTGCTCCACAGCATAGACAGAGCAGGCTCGGAGTTCTACCTCCTCGTCACTGCCTGAGGTAATTTCAGTATTTTTCTTGATAATACTGGCCACGGATGAACTATATCTCAGCACTCCAAGCTGCTGAAGGACAGCTGGAACAATATAATCAGCAAATATGGTTATTGAGCTTATGTCTTCAAAATCACCATATCCTTGACCCTTAAATGCACCCCATAAATCAGCAGCAAAAATTTGAGCTCTTTTATACAAGAAAATCTGGTGGCCTTTGTACACCGTGTGATCACGGAAGCCTGCAACAGTAAAATAAGCAAAGATAAATATATTATCATTGGAAATAATGATTAAACGTATCATGTAAAAGGAAAACTATAGAAAACAAAGATACCAGGAAAGTGGCTAGCGATGAGAGTGACAAGCTTTGCAGCAGATTTGTCGCAGGACTCCACAAGCTTAGATGCCTTTCCCCCAAAGCTCCTCTCAAGCTCAAGCCCAACCTTAGCCATGAGAGCTATTAGCTTAGTTAACAAGCTTCGAAGAACACAAAATTGATTCACACTGCAAGCTACTGGAACGTTAAGAGAATGCATGTAACACCAAATGAAAAAAATTAGAAGTGTACCTCATGCAATAAGCGCACCCGTTCATCCTCCAAAGGCAGTGGTCTCGGCCAGTTCAACATTTTCCTTAACTGAGGACCTAAAAATAGGTGTTCGAAATTTAGCAGGGAAAGGCTACAAGATTTCAGAACTTGAAAACAACTCAAGGCATTTGCAAATATATATATATGCAAATGTGAGTTGCTTCACATGACTTTCCAAACACAAGCAGAACTGATGAAGATGCTTTCTAGAATTTACTTTAGTGCTGAGCTCTAATATTTGTTGATCTTAGGCGTCTCTATTGTAGCATCAGTTATGATCCATCTAATACTTTATTAATCTTATGTGTCTCTACTGCTGCATCAACTAAATCCTTTTCCATTTCCCGATTTAACCTTGAGAATGATGAACAAATTTATAATTGGAGGTTGGTACTAAAGATTTGATGTGATGACCCAAAAGGTCATCACTTGTTTTAGAAACAAATTCAGTGTTCCGAGGCCTAAAAACCTCCCTTTTACCTCACCTTGATTTGCGTACGTGGTCCGGACCTATATCCGGAAAGTCTTCTATGTGAAAAGATGAGAAATAGAAATTTCTAGAGTTAAAAATTTGATATTTAGTTGACTTTGGTCAACATTTTGAGCAAATGGACCCGGATCCGTGTTCCGACGATCCCGGGAGGTCCGCAGTAAAATATGGGACTTGGATGTATGCCCGGAAATGAATTCCGAGGTCTCAAGCCTTAGAAATCAATTTTTGAAAGAAATTGTTTTGCTGAATTATCTAAGAAATGAAGTACAGAATTAATGTTTGAAACCATTGGTATCGGGCCCGTATTTTGGTTCCGGAGCCCGGTACAAACTTGTTATAGTATTTGAATGATAACTATGAAATTTGGTGAAAAATGGAGTCTATTTGACGTGAGTTGGATTTCCGGTTGAACCCGTTAGCGCTGACCGCATTGATTTTATGCTGACCGCGGAGGGGCCTTTGTGGCCGTACTCCTTTTTGTGCGGTCCACGGTGAGGAAGAATTTCACCGGTCCGACTTCGGAAGCCTATATCTTTTGATCTACAAGGTATTTTGAGATGATTCAAAAACCAAAGTTGTAGCCCTTCGTGTCTAGTTTTTAAAAAGCTAAAGAAATCACAATTTGGACATCTGTAGAGAAAGTTATGGCCAAAATACTAACGTATATCACTGCAGTCAACACTGTGAGCTCTGCGACCGCACTCCTTTTTGTGCGGTCCGCGCAGGGGGTCTGAGAGGGGTATATTTAAATGGGATTTTCAGTTATTTTTCACTTTTCAAAACCCCAAAAAACATAAGAGGCGATTTTTCAATCGACCTTTCTTCTCCAAAACATTAGTAAGTGATTTCTAACTCATTTTCTTTACTCCTTAACTTCTTTTTACAAGATTTCATCCTAGAATCTAGAGTTTTCATGGTGGAATTGGGGAATTTTGGGTAAAACCTAAGAATATTAAAATTTGGAGATTTAGACCTCAAATTGAGGTCGGATTCCAAAACCAATTATATATCTGGGCTCGGGGGTGAATCGGTAATCGGGTTTTGGTCTGAATTTCGATTTTGGACCAAGCAGGCCCGGGGTCGATTTTTGACTTTTTGGGAAAAAATTTAGAAAACTTATTTCCATGCATTAAAATTGATTCATTTAGCACTTATTAATATTATTAAGTAACTTGTGGCTAGATACGAGCGAGTTGGTGGTGGACTCAAGAGGTAAAGCGATAGTTGAGGCTTGAATTGTGTTCGTGGCATCGAGGTAAGTGTTTGGTCTAACCTTAGCTTGAGGGATTAGGAGTTGAGTCTTACTTGTTGTGTGCTAATTGTTGAGTACGGCGTATAGGCATGGTGACGAGTATCTATACGTTGGTGTCAAGCATGCCCGTGATTCTTGTATTGTAATTGTTGTGACTCCGTTGTGGTTTATTGCACTTCATATGAGGATTATCATTACTGTTCCCTTGCCGGGATGTTGTTGTCATATTATTGTTCCCTTGTCAGGATGTTGTTGTTATGGTATTGTTCCTTTGCTGGGATGTTATTGTTAAAATATTATTCCTTGTCGGGATTCTTTTATGGTTGGTATTGATAAATGAAAAGGGAGCGGGTTGCACGCCTGCAACGATACTATATTAAAAAGGGAGTGGGTTGCACACCTGCAACGGTAACATATGAAATGGGAGCGGGTTGCACGCCTGCAACGGTAACATATGAAATGGGAGCGGGTTGCACGCCTGCAACGGTAATATATGAAATGGGAGCGGGTTGCACGCCTGCAACGGTATTATATGAAATGGGAGCGGGTTGCACGCTTGCAACGGTACTATGTGATTTGGGATTACATGTGTACTTGTTTCTTATGTCCATATCTTTTGTTGGTATTTGATTTATGGCGTTCCTTACATTTCTATACTATTATTCTGTTGTTACCTGCTACTCCCCGCAGCATGTTTCCCCCGTCCAACTTTAGTTGTAATTATCTGTTTCTATTTCCGCTGTATATGATTTAACTGCACAGGTTTATTTGGTAGTCTGGTCTTAGCCTATTCACTAATTCGCCGAGGTTAGGCTAGGCACTTACCAGCACATGGGGTCGGTTGTGCTGATACTACACCCTGCACTCTTTTGTGCAGATCCCAGTGCTGTAGATTTCGGACCGCAATGAGATTGTTGTTTCTTGTTCATCAGGCGACCCGGGTAGTCCTGCAGGCGTCCGCAGGCCTTGGCGTCTCCTTCTATCTACTATTCCTTTTTCTTTCATGTATTTCCAGAGACAGTATTGTATTTATTTCTTTCAGACCTTTATTTGTAATACTCCTAGACAGTCTGTGAAGTTGTGACACCAGTCTTAGGTAGATTTGTTATGGAATGGTATTTGCAGTATTATTAAACTTGAAATTTAATCTTCCGCCCAGTAAATTTTGTTGATTGATAATTGTTGGTTCTTAATTGTTAATGGATTTAAAATGGAAACAAGGCAAATAATTCAATTGGTTGGCTTGCCTAGCTTTTACTAGTAGGCGCCATCACGACTCCCGAGGGTGGGAAGTCCGGGTCGTGACATTTAAGAGAGTGAGTATCATTTCAGAGAAAGACTACGATTTCTCACAATTTTTTTGTCCATATAGGCATATAATGAGCTACTTCAACAAGAAAAGAAGATTCAAACTGAAGAATCAAAATCGATTCTTCTCTTTTGAATCTTGGATTACCTCACTTCTAATAGTTGTGTAAGGACCTCAAATTTAAAGATCGCAAAGGCATTCTCCGCAGAGGGTAGTTTATTTGGGTTGAAATTGATTGGATCGTCAGTTAGGTATTCAAAAGCAAGAGTGAAAGTCATCGGCATTCTTAAGAGACCACGCGTGTATACGAAGCAAGAAACTGTTCACTGGACATTCTTATACAGAACCCATGCACCATATAATTTCTGGAAAACCACGGGAGGGGTAGGGAACAGAGGCATAGCAGAACAGAATCCAAAGAAACCTGCTTACCTGTATATTTCTGTAGACGATCAGCATCAAATGCAGTTTTGTCACTCTCAAGAGTAGCCTTCAATCCAGATGCCAGATGATCATAACTCAGGTCCTCATCTGCAGTTAGAAGTAAGCAAAAAGTCACTAGGCCAGAGTATACTATCAAACAACTGACATGAAAAACAGCCATACGACTTTTTAGTGAAGCCCCAGCATCAAGCATCATGAATAGGGTTCTGTACTAAAAACTTTCTTGATTGACATAAATGTGCAAGTTATATGCTTTGGAAAAACCAACGCAGTTCCAAATACTGGCATGTACTCATACACAGACAGAGAATGAAATAAAAGCAAATTAAGTTGTATTATTACAGTTAGGGGTGTACATAGGTCGAATTGGTTTGGGTTTTTCAATTGCCAAACCAAACCAATAGTGTCGGGTTTTTAAATCTATAAATCAAATCAAACCAACAAAGTCGGGGTTTTCAATTTCGATTTTTCTCTGATTTTTTGGGTTTTTCGGGGTTTTTTCCTCGCGTAAAGTATTCATAGCACAAAATTTATAACTTGTACTCCAAATATTTCTTTAGTCCTAGTAGGATACAACTATATAATGTATTTTCCAAGAAAAAAAACATAGCATTATACTAAAATATTCAATAATAAAGGCAATGAAATCACATAAAATAAATATTGCTCATTAATAAGCCATAATAAAATGAACATAATCTACAAGTATACTAAGTCATGCTAAAATAAGTACGGTTAAATTACATGACTAAACACTAAAGAAAAAAATAAACTACAACAACAACATACCCAGTAAAATTCCACTAGTGGAGTCTGGGGAGAGTGGAGTGTACGCAGACCTTACCCTACCCCGAAAAGGGTAAAGAGGCTATTTCCGGGAGACTCTCGGCTCAATAGGAGAGTCTAAGTTATGCATTTTTATTACAAACCAATGGAAAACTAAAAAATAGATATCCAACACACTGTCATCTTAGTGTTGAATTGAATTTCTTTTGTTAGAATTAGTATTGATTTGAACTTTATTTTAGTTACTACATTAAGTACAACCTTAAAATAATACGTTAAAAATAAAACCATGAAAAAGTTTAAGAAATATTTATAAATTATATTACAATAAATATTTTTATGTATAAAATATTTTTAAAAGTTATGTTAATGTAATGTCGGGTTGGTTTGGTTTCAGTTAGTTAAAATCTAACCCAAACCAATTATGGTCGGATTTTGTTTTCCAATATCAAACCAAACCACAATCGGGTTTTTTTATTCGGTTTGACTCGGACTATCGATTTGGTGCAGTTTATCAATTTTCTTTGTACAACCCTAACTACAGTTAAAGAAACTAATTTGCAGACAACTATAACAGATTAAACCTTTGTCAAATTACAACTTTATTCACAATTACGGAGCTATCGTAGTTGCAAACTTGTTAAAGTACCTGGCCAGAAACAAAAATTCAATGTATCCAAGACCAACAAGTATTGAACAGTGAGTGGGCCGTTATCAAAATAGTGTATCCCTTCAAAATCCCACTCCACTTTCGGCAATGTATTCTTCATAGTTTCAGCAACCTTCTCAATGCCTGCGCATAACACATGCAAAATGTAATTTTATATATCAAATACAGGCCACTTTAAACTACCATTAAACGTGACTCTAAAATAAAGAGAAAATAGAGCATTGCAGTTATTTCTAGGCCCTCGCTCCTGGACAAAGCATAATGAACACGGAGGATTCTTATAACGGACTCCAACTAATTTGAGACTGAAGGTTAATTAATTCAATGCAGAAAGAGAATGCATTGGATGTAATGAATAACAACATAAAGAGGAACCTGAGAAATCAACGGTAACATGAGAGGAGTGAGTAGAAACCCAAGCGGTGCTGGACCTAACTTCTTCCATGGCGGCCCAAGAACTTCACTGCAGAAGATCAAAACCCTAGTAGCTTAACAATGGAGACGAGAAAGGAGGACCAGTGGTTTTTGCGCCAACCGAAATTTCTGTGCCATTCGTAACGCTTTCAGAAGATTTGACTGGTCACGTGAAGCCCAAAAAGTTTGAGTAGTAATCTAAAGTCATCAGTCACTGGGCCCAATGAAAGCTTCCTTCTCCCCGATTTCTTTCGTGTGTGTACTTCCATAAAAGGTTAAAACCATATTTGATTCTTTTTTGTGTCACCGAGAAGGCCGAAGGTGGAGCGTGACATAATTGACTACTTTACGTGGTTTACCCTTTTAATATACTTATCGAAAGACCCGAAAACCAAACCATCCTTTTGTTCGTGAATTAGTATTCCTAGATATTTGTCATCTTAAATTAAGAGAGAATTAATATTTTTTTAAATTTTACCTGAATTGTTTTACAATAGAGAGGCACATTAAATAAACAAAGATTACATAATTCATAAGGGATTAGCTAGATTATTTTTCTTATTAATAATTTCCTGATGGGTCTATAGAATTTTATCCTTACAATTAAGTACTTTGTGTATCTTTGGAACGATCCGATTGGTCGTTTTGAGCAATTTCGCATGATTCGCTAGTTTGATATCTCGATCAGTTTCACATTATGTATATCAACTTGTGTGCATGGTTGATTCAGTTTCCGGATGAATCAGAGTTGAACTGGAAGAAGGAACCTAGTTTTGGAAGTTTAAACAGTGAAAATTTGACTAGAATTGGACTTTTGAGTAAACGGTCCCGGAATGGGTCGTGGGTGATCTCGACCGCTTCGTATGGTGATTTTAGACTTAGGCGTTGTAACGACCCGGCTGGTCATTTTGCCTTTTAGGACCCCGTTCCCTTAAATAAAACTTTCTGTGCTTGCTTTAGCTAATTTACGACTTGCGGGGACGGTTTGTTCGGGAATTTGGTGAGTTTTGAGTGAAATAGGTCCATTTGATTCTTTAGGATTCTATTAAAAGACTAAGTTTGACTTTGGTCAATATTCTGGGAAAACAAACCCGGATTCGTGATTTGATGGTCCCGGAGGGTCCGTGTGAAAATATGGGACCTGGGCGTATGCCCGGAATCGAATTCCGAGGTCCCTAGCCCGAGTAATGAATTTTTATTAGAAATTGTTAATTTAAAGCTTTAAGGATTTAAAGAAAACTGAGTAATCATTGATTTCCTAGGTATCGGGCTCGTATGTCGGTTTTGAAGCCTGGTACAGGTCCGAAATATCATTTAAGACTTGTCCATAAAATTTGGTGTCAATCCGAGTAGTTTAAGGGCATTTTGACCCGTTAGAGGAAAATTAAGAACTTGAAGTTCATAAGTTTGATTCATTTGGTTTTAGGGGGTGATTCCTAGATGTAGCGTTGTTTCGGGTGTTCCGAGGGTTCGAGTAGGTCTGTCTCATGATTTCTGACTTGTCGGTATGTTCGGGCAAGGCCCGGGAGCCCCGAGCGTCAATCGGACGAGGTTCGAGTGAAGTGAAAAATTGGAAAAGTGTTGAAGATTTGCTACTTCTATCATAACCGCATCTGCGATTCTTGGACCGCAGGTGCGGTCCTTCAATCGCTAAAGCGGCCCAGGGCAGGCCAGGCCAGAACCGCAGAACCGGTTTCGCAAATGCGGTCCCAGCCCTTTTGCCCATTTTCGCAGGTACGGCCCATCTTTCGCAGATGCCAGACCGCAAATGCGGTCCCCTAACCGCAGATGCGGAAATCCGCTGGGCAGAGAGGTTTATTTAATACGAGTTCAAGACCATTTTTATCACGTATACAATTTTCTGGGGAGCTTTGGAGAAGGGATCTTCACTTAGCATTGTGAGGTAATTTATTCCACCCATCTTTAGTTTAATACTTGCATATTAGGTAGATTAAACACTAGAAATTAGGTAAAATCAAGGGGTTATAGCAAGACCTAGGGTTTTACCAAAACTTAGATTTAACCAAGAAATTTGTTATGAAATGAATTAAAAATCATATATTATTGATCCTTAGGTTATAAAGATCAACTCCCTTCGAAAAATCTCGAAATCTGGGCACGTGGGCCCGGGGTCGGAATTTAGGAAACTCGTGTTAATGGTTGGGAGATTTCTTAAATAACTAGAATTCGATCTTGTGAGCCTATATTAATTAGTTCTTACTTCATTTAACTAGTTTGGGATCGTTCGACTCCGAATTGAGGACTTGGACTTGTTCTTGATATTTGGAAGTGCGCTTTGGAGCAAGGTGAGTCTCCTTTCTAGCCTTGTAAGAGGGAATTGACCTCATAGGTATAATAATTGAATTAATTGTCATTATATGCGGGGGCTACGTACATACCAGGTGACAAAAGTCCGTGCGTAGCGACTATTATGTTAGGTTCGGGTAGTCTAGGGCCCAAAAGGATGTTCTACGTGATATTCTTGTAACTTGATGTTAAATTCAGAGTTGTATAAATTATCTGATTAAGGTAAATGCTACTAGTGAGGAAACCTTATTCTATTTGGTCCTTAAAAGAAAATTGGGAAATTTCCTGTGAATAGTTGCTCCTCAGATATATTTTATTGTCTGCTTGAGATGATTTTATTTCAGTTGACAGCGTCACACGTGTGATTCGCGAGCGGGGTAATAGATGCATCTATGGTTCGATCTGTTCGACCCTCGGCAGTGCACATTTTACATTTATGTTGGATTGGGTCGTACGTCCCTCGATGTTATTTGCGCATGATTTGCTTAGCCTCCTATCTGTGGACTGGACTTTATATCTGCTTACTATATAGATGGACACTCATAATAATATTTGGAAAAGAACTGTTATTCCATGTTAATTAATGCTAATAATTTGTGCTATTCCTGCTTATTATAAATTCTCCTCATATTATTTGACCTTAGTAAGTATTGAGTCGACCTCTCGTCTCTACTTCTTCGAGATTAGACGGGATACTTACTGGGTATATGTTATTTATATACTCATACTACGCTTTTGTACTTAATTGTACAGGATCTGAGGCAGGTGTATCTGGTTATCATTCTGGTGCGCATCCTTGAGCGGACCCAAGCTGCTTTTCTTCCATGCCGACCAGTAGCCTGAAGACGTTTTTCTTATGTATTTCCTTTTGCTATCTATCCTAATTCGGACAGTAAGATAGTGTGATTCTTTTGTATATTCTATAAGTTGCCCATAGTTTGTGACACCAGGTCTTGGCACACACATTAGTAGACATTTATTTTAGGTTGTATAATCCTTTTGTATACATATTGATCTCTTCTGGCTTTAGCTTTAAATTGTAGGATCTGTTTCACTTATTTTTGGTAAAAGTAAATTGAGAACTCAATTATATTTCCGCATCGGCTTGCCTAACAACGGTGTCGGGCGCCATCATGGCCTATTTTGGAAATGGGTCGTGACAACGTGGTATCAGAGCACTAGGTTCACATAGGTCTCACAAGTCATGGGCAAACCTAATAGAGTCTTGTGGATCGGTACGGAGACGTCTGTATTTATCTTCGAGAGGCTATAAGGTATTAGGAAACACTACTCTTTATTCATTTCCTATGGTGCAATGGTTGGTATATTAAATATCCCTCTTTTATTCTCTCACGGATGGCGAGGACATGCACGACTGATGTTCTAGACCTGGGCGGAGCTGCTCCCCCCTCCCCCATTGCTAGAGGCCGAGGCAAAGGCCAGGGGAGGGCACCGACCTGTAGTAGGGAACGAGGACGTCCCAGAGCTATTCCAGTAGAACCACCAGCAGATCCTGCGGGAGATCCCATTATCGAGGAGCAGGGTGAGATGCCCGCAGCTGAGCCTACCCTGGCAGACTTTATGATAGCACCGGGATTTCTGGAAGTCATGAGTCGCATGCTACGGTTCATGGATTCTATGACTCAGACTGGTTTATTTCCAGCAGATCCAGCTACCTCACAGGCAGGAGGGGGAGCACAGACCCCTACTACTCGGGCTCTAGGTCATGCAATAGTAATGTATCAGACTCCGGGTGCACTACCCGCAGATGGGGCCCAACCAGTTGCCGCAGTGGCGCCCCAGCCCAGACTAGCTGCGGATGGTAACCCGTAGACGTTATTGGACAGATGGACTAGACTTCACCCTCCTATCTTCGGGGGTGAGCGACATGAGGATGCCAAGGGCTTCATTGACAGGTGTAGGGACTGGCTGCACAACATGAGGATATTGGAGTCGCATGGAGTGGACTTCACTACTTTTCAGCTGGAGGGCAGGGCCCGTAGATGGTGGCAGTCCTATACTCTTGGCAGGCCAGCAGGTTCTCATCCCCTCACTTGGGGTCAGTTCACACAGTTATTCCTGGATCGATATATTCCAACCTATGAGAGGGAAGAGCTGCGGTATCAGTTTGAGCATCTTGAGTAGGGTCAGATGTCGGTGACCGATTATGAGGCGAGGTTCTCTGAGTTGTCTCTCCATGCACTTATGATACTCCCCACAGAGGCAGAGAGAGTGCAGAGGTGTGTTGCAGGGTTACACCCCACTATTCGATCGAGCATGGGCCGAGAGGTGGAGATGGGTACTAGGTATCAGCTAGTGATTGAGATTGCCCGCAGGATTGAGGGGTACCGTCAGAGGGGTAGAGAGCAGATGCAGCAGGATAAGTGGGCTAGATTTTCGGGAGAGTTCAGAGGTGCCCCAACTAGGGGTAGAGGCCACTTCGGGAAGGGTCAGCCTAGCAGGCCCCCGCACATAGCACCATCACCCCCTCCCCGAGGTGCTCCAGTGAGGCCTTATTTCAGTGCGATGCCGGAGAGTTCTTACCACTCACCAGCTATTCAGGGTTCCTCCAACGGGTATTCTGGTTATCAGGGTTCTTCCAGTGCTCCTTTCAGTGCCATACCAGAGAGTTCATATCGCCCACCAGCCATTCAGGGGTCTTCTAGTAGGTATTCGGGTCAGCAGGCTTAGACTTCAGAGCAGCAGGCCATGGTACCGAGATGATGCTATGAGTGTGGAGATTCGGGTCACATGAAGAGGACCTGCCCCAGACTTCGGGGCAAGGCAGTGCAGCAGGGTCAGTAGACCATGATTTCAGCACCAGCTGCCCAGCCACCTAGAGGTGGAGGGCAAGCTGGTAGGGGCCGTACTAGAGGTGGAGGTCAGCCAGCTACTGCTCAGTTAGGTGGAGGCCAGCCAGCCGGTGCTCCAGCCAGATTCTATGCCTTTTCGGCCAGGCCAGACGCATTGGCCTCAGATGCCGTCATCAGAGGTATTATT